TTGTTTCTACCAAAACAGAGACAACGTCACGCCTCAGAACTCACCTGGAGCCTCAGCGGCTCCTTCACAAACACGAGCTAAAACACTTCACCTGAGGCGTTTCACCTCAAAGGTTTCCCCGAGAGCCTGGTCGACCCACGGCTCTAACTGAGCTTTAACTGAGGCCTGCACAAGTTGGATCGGGTCTCGCCAGGTTCAGAACAGGCAGGTTGTTCTGCTCCAATAAGATAAAGTCATAAATGTTACAGAAACAGCCGGAGGCGGCTGACAACAGCTGAAGTTGTTTACATACAACAGATGACTGATGGAAAATGTGTTTCTGTAACAATCAGGATGTTACAGATTTACATCTGACAGCGAAGAGTTCTGCTTCAACTCAACAAGCAGGGCTTTTATACCTTTTCAATATATTTAACTTTATTTACAAATCTTTTCTGGGCAGCTGTGGTAGCTCAGTGGTCAGTGCTGCAGTCTTGTAATCCTGAGGCTGAGGGATTAAGTCCTGGTTGTGTCAGGACTGGAGGCGCGTTTAGTACAACCAAATCGTTCATTTTCACTCGATGTGGAAGGCGCAGCCAAAATAAAACCTAATTTACAAATATTTTTCTTAAAATCAATGAGATTTCCTTAAATTAGCAAACTGTATGTTTTAGTCTTTATGTTGCCTTTAGCTTTTAGCTGCTGCACAGCTACTTTTAGCTACCATTCTGCTGCATTTAGTTTTGTGCCACATTTTTGCAATTTTTAACATTTAGCTAGCCTTTTGCTACGTTAAGCTTTAAGTTACCATGTTGCCACTTCTTTAAATTCCCATTCTGCTACTTTAAACTAGCCTTTTGCTGCTTTTAGATTTTAGCTGTTAGCCTTCTAATAGCTTCGATTTTTAGCCAGGCTTTTGCTAGTTTTAGATTTTAATTACCATTTTGCTACTTTATTGGTTACCATTCTGCTAATTTGAGCTTTCAGCTTGCCTTTTGCTACTTTAAGCTTTTAGTTGCCATGTTGCTGCATCTTTAAATTCCCATTCTGCTACTTTAAACTAGCCTTTTGCTGCTTTTAGATTTTAGCTGCTAGCCTTCTAATAGCTTTGACTTTCAGCTAGCTTTCTGCTGTTTTTAGAGTTTAATTATCATTTTTGCTTCTTTATTGGCTACCATTCTGCTGGTTTTAATCTTTAGTAAGCTTTTCTGCTAATTTTAGCTTGCAGCTTGCCTTTCCCTACTTTTAGCATCAGGTCATCTTTTTACTACTTTTAACTTCTACATTTTGATATTTTTAGCTAGCCTTTAATACTTTTAGCATTTAGATAGCATTTTCTTACTTTAACCTTTTATTTAGCCTTCTGTTATGTTTAGCTTTTAATTAATCTTTTGCTAGTTTTAGCTTTCAGTTAGTATTTTGCTACTTTTGGCTCAAAGCCAGGCTTTTGCTACCATTATTTAGCCTTTTAACACTTTAAGCTTTTAGCTAGTGTTCTGCTTCTTTTAGCTTGAACGATGTGCTTCTTCAGCAGATGTCAGTGAAGATGTCCAGCTGTCAGAATATTTCAGCAGAAAATAAAACTTCTCTGGTTTTGGATCAGAGCTGAAGCTGGAGGCAGGCCAGAACAGAACCAGAACCAGAACGGTCACCATAATACTGTGAGCACTAAACTGCTGAAAAGCTAAAGTTCTGCTGAGGAGGCAGGCAGGTTTGGACTAACGCAGGCGTTTGAGGAACATTTGAAATCCTCAAATTGATATAAAATAATGTCTATAATGTAAAAATGAACATTTTACAGGAACCAGATGCTTTTATTCACCTTAGCTGAACCTGTAAGACTGATTTAAGAGAAAACAAGCATTTTATTTATAGACTAGGAACTAAACTGTGTGTTCTTGTTCCTTAAAGCAGAACGATCAGAGAACGTTCCTAGAGAACAGCATGGGATTGAGTTCAATCTGGTTTTTATCAAATCGCTCCAACAAACAAACTTTGTTTATTTATCAGCGCCGATTTTTAATCTGTGAGCTGGTTCTGAAAGACGAAAGACGTTTCTGCCCCTGAACCGGTTCCGTCTCCTGACTGATGCTGGGCGTCGGAACTGGAGCTGCTGAGATCTGCGGCTCCGGAGGTGGGAGGCAGATCTGTGTGGGATGTGTGATGTTCTGCTCTGATCCTTCTCTCGTGGCGTTATGCAACGGGTCAGCGCTCGGTTCTGTCTGTTCCCGCTGACAGGAGCCGTTGGAGTTCACGGGAACGTCTCAGGAACCTGTAGAGCATTTTAGAGTCACATCACAGGTTCTGTTCGTCCGTTTGATCCCACTAATCCAGAACTTTCTCCCCCTCCTCTGAGTCAGGACTGTGTGGCAGCTCTCGTTGTGGTTGTGTGTTTCCAGGGCAACAGTTGCTCGCAGAGTTGTCTGTTTTTCCTGGAACAAACTTCCTCTCCGCCAACATCAGAGTGTTTTCACACAGAAATCAGATTCCAGAGTTTTGGTGTGTTTTGTTTCTCTGAGTCGGTGTGAGATCTGTTCGTTCGGAGAGGATGGAGCGTCTGAAGGTTTTACACGTGAGCAGTCAGGATTCGTTTGTCGCAAAACGTTCAGTTCAGAGTTTGATTCTTATTAAACGGTGACAACACTCAAACAAACTGCAGGAGAATTTATCACCCGCACATGTCACAACCAGGTAACGTTTCTGCTCATGTTTGTCTGTACTGTTAGCAAAATATCTCACAAATCAGCTCCATCTTCTACACGGAGGCATTGGAACCCAGACCTCCCACCGAGGTGTTTCCAAGCCAGAGAGTTCTGGGTCTTCCTCGAGGTCGCTGATCAGGGGGACATGTCCAGAAAACCTCAAAAAAGAATGTGTCCAGATCAGAAGTTCATTTCAGCCACTTGGATCCAGGATCTGGCTCTTTCGGTCCTGATCCAAACCTCAGGACTGCAGGTGAGGGTTGGAGCGTAAACCAGTAAATCCAGAGCTTTGCCTTTCAACTCAACTTCACCACAACTGACCAAAGCAACACCCTCATCGCTGAGGAGGAGGCCCAATTCATCACTCCATCACTCATGAACAGGACGCCCAGATACCTGAACTCCTCCACCTGAGGCAAAGACACCCCCCCCCCTCCAACCCAGAGGGGGAGAGCTGACTCTAATCCTAACAGCTTTTTAACTAAACTCAGGAAATAACATCTAGAACTGAGTATCTTTCAGAATTTATCCTGATCAAGATGGCTGCCACAGCTGACTGATATCTCGGGCATAAAAAGGTGGCGGGCGACATGCATTTGTTCCACGAGTTCCAGTCTTTATTTAACTGTGACTTTAAGAAGTCAGAACTCTCAGCTGTTGCGTTGACAAAGAAGCTAAAAACTTTAATTGATGCCAGATCACAAGTTTATTTCTGCTTCCTATAAATTTATAACGAGAAGCTCATCAAGATGTTTTTACACTGACGCAAACATTTTTTTGTGGGTTGGATTGAATTTTTAAGTTAACAGTCCAGTGACCTTTGACCTTTCTTCCTGTTAATGTGTTTCTTATATTGTCACCTACAAAACTGCTGTTTTTTGTAGTTTTCTGTATAAACGTATTTCATTATATCTTCGGTATTTTTCCATTTGCTATGAAAATATCCCTAAAAACAGGAAATAAACCACGTTTTCAATGGATCTGTCAAGGCCAATTATAAGTAAATTAAAGTGTAAATTAAAATAAGTTGAGCTCGTGTTGCTTCACTGGACTGATATAGAAAATGACGAATCAATACAATATTTGAGCTGTTAAATACCTCAATTCTCTGTCAATTTGCTGGATAAATTTGAATATTATCATTGTGCTTAATTAATGTGATTGTATTGAATTATAATTAGGTGAAATTATTCAGAATTCAACTCCTTCTGCACATTTTACAAGATATGCTTTCAGCTATTTCGGCTGTTTGGTTACCAGATAGTTCAGCTCATTTAGGAGATGGGTGCTACTTTTGTTCTTTATAACTTTCAGACATTTTAAAATATTTAATTTAAACTTTATTTATTTTTTGCTTTGATTTATATAAACAGGATTTAAATTTTTAGCTCATAGTTTTAGCTCATGTTGTGTTAATTATTGGTTTTAAATACATTTGTTTTGGTTTATCTTTTAGCTAATGTTTAGTTCATTAGCTTTATCTATGCTTTGAGAATTTTAACTTTTAGTTATAAATGTGTTAACTTTAACATTTAACCAAGGGTATGTCAATTTTAGCTTTTTTCTATGTTTTTGCAGATTTAGACTTTAGTTAGTTTTATAGTTTTAGCTAATGTTCTGCTTGTTTCAGCTTTGACAACTCAGTTTCAGCTAAAAAAAAAAATAAAAATCAGTTTCAGCTTCTTCAACAAACTTTAGCTGTTATTTAGCTCTCAACAGTGTTCTCAGTAAATGTTCGCACAAAAGGTAGATTTGATTCAGAACCTGTTTTGGACCTAATTTTAAAGATTTGTTTTCTGTGTGTTGTTGTTGTTTGTGCCCTGGGATTAACTTTTGTTTGTTTAAATATAAACTGAACTTAAGTGAAACCGCGAACAGAAGCGCCTTATTAATTTTTATTTTTAACAGAACCTGCTTCTAAAAGTAAATCTGCCAAATAGTCCCTCCGCGCTGCTCTGCGGAGGGATACCTCCTGTCCCTGCTGGTGGTCACATATGGATCTATAGTCTATAAATTAGTAAACAGGTCACGTGCCAAGGGGTTTCTTAACGGGACTCTGCTGGTTCTGGGTTTCGGGCCCGGTTCTGCAGTTTAGGACCTGCGGGTCGGAGTCGGTGTAAAAGAACTATCAGAACCTCTCATCACTGGACCGAACCTCTGAACTTTGTCCCGCACGGTGCTCCTGAGGAGGAGGAAGACCCTCATGAATACCTCCGCAGTTTCACCCCCCCAGCTGCTTCCACAACTAAACTTCTCGGACCGTGCGCGCGCTCTCCGTGCACGGTGTCCCGGCTGCGGTACCGACCCGGATGCTCCTACCTTGCAGGTTCTGGACTCGGATGTCGCTGATCTGTCCGATGAACTCCTCCCGCTCGAACCAGTCCTCCCAGCCGTGTCCAGCCATCGGAACCGCGCTGATGGGGATCCGGGTCGGAACCCGGAGAGTCCGGCCGCAGGATCACGCAGGGTCCGGGTTCAGAACCACTAGAGTCCGGCCGGAGGGTCTGTTCCGGGCTGCGGTCTGTTCTCCAGCCGGTCCACAGAGACACCGAGCGGCTCTCCGTCAGCACGCCGACATCCCTGCTCCGCGCTGCGGCTTGGTCCGCGTCAGCACCGCGCTGTGAGCCGCGGAGCTCCGAGAGGAGGAGGAGGAAGGAGCCGCCGCACCTGGTTGGTGTTCGCGAGGTGGGATGGAGCTGAGCCAGGCCCCGCCCCCTCCTCCACCTCCGCCTTCCTGCGCCAACACGCGCAGAAAAACAAAAAACATCCCACACAATCTGTTTGTTTTTAATGGTTATATTTAGATAGTTTGGTTTCATCTGGACTTTCTGCCTCTTCCCAAGCGGCGTGTGCAAATACAAAAATAACTAGAGAAATTGCATTTCCTTAGAAAATGCAACGTGAATGCTTTTGCTGCAGAACCTGCTGAAAAACAGCTTAAATTGGCTAAAAACATGCTGAAATTGTAGTTGAAGTGGAAGAAGTTAGAAGAAGAAAGCAGAAAGAAAACATATTTGCTGAATTTGGTTTAAATAGGCTGAACTGAGCACAAAAATTACTAAGATAGCTAAAAAAAAAGCTGAAATTAGCAAGAAATAGCTGAAAAGTAGCTGAAACAGCAAAAAGAAGCTTAAATTACCAACAACAAAAGTGGAGAGAGCACAATTGTGCCCAATTAGGATGAAAGAAGCAGAAATGAACACAAAAAATTGGAAATTGTCAGAAAAAAAAGCAAAAAAATTGCACACACAAAAACAACTGCTGAATAGTAGCTTTAAAAAAGGCAGAAAGAAGCTTTAATTACCTAAAGAGAGTAGAGAGGCCACATTTCCACCCAATTAGGATTATAGAAGCAGAAATGGACACAAAAAAAGAAATTATCTGGAAAAATAAAGTAGATATTAGCACAAATAAACCCCACAGCTGAATAGTAGCTAAAAAAAAAGCAGAAAGAAGCTAAAGTGGAGACACGATTTTGCTGAATTAAGCTGAAAATTTTTTACTGAGTGCAAAAATTGTGGAATAAGTTGAAAAAGCTAGAATTAGCATAAAACAGCTAAATAGTAGCTGAAACAGTTGAAACTTGCAGAAATAATCTGAAAGGAGCAGAACAAGCTGAAATTAGAAACAAGTTAGAAGAAACACAAAAATGTTATAGTTAGAATAAATCTGAAAGGTGCAGAAAACAGCTGAAATTAGCTGAATTAGCTTCTTTTTTTTTTTCACAAGGAAGCTGAAAGTAGCTGAACCAGAACAAAATGAGAAAGAAGCAGTAAAAGGTTGTAAACGGATCTAAAGATCTGAAGGATGTAAAATGAGCTCAATTCATTTTCAGTGGGGGAAAAATGGCAGAAAAGTCACAGGATCACAATGAATAAGTTATTTTTTAATCAGCTGCCACATTAAAACATGTCATAAAAGGCAAACTATAAAATCAAACAAAGAGGTTATCCTGAACTTTATCAGATGGTGCCATTTGAAAGAGTTTACTCCAGTAGTTTTCCAGATATATATACATAGTTCTGAAGTGCGGGTTTGCACTCGATGTAAACAAACTGAAATCAAACTAGCTGTGTTCTGCAAACAAATGCAATGGAATCAGGCGCCCGTATGGACCTCAGAGATGTTTGGGTGGAAATAGAAGAATCTGCTGCTAAATAAACGACAAAAGGTGATTAAGGCGGCCTATTTTCAGACACTTCGGCTGTTTCTGTAGGTGAACAAACACCTGTGTGAGCTGGCAGCAGCTCAAAAATTTTGCTTCTATTTTTATTTTTTGTAGCAACCATCAATATGAAGACAAATGTGCAGGTTTTTTTTAACTTTGTTTATTTTAAGCTGTTTTTATTTCTGTCTGTATCGGCTACGACCATCAAACAGGTGAATCGACAAGCTCAGGTGAGTGTCGAACATAAGTCTTCATCACGCTCCAGTTCACTGTTTAGAACCAGATCCGGCTCAGCTGAGCCCATAACGAGCAGAGGAGGATCTTTCATAGAACTGGTCCTCATCAGTTTAATCATATCAAAACCAATCTGTGCCCGACTAATCATCAGAGAAATGTCCTCAGGAAGGATCCAGCATGTCCATCTCTGCCGACCAATCTGGACCTCAGATGGTTCTTCTTCAGATCTGGTTCTGATTTCTCTTATAGCCACAGACAAAGGTCCAAACCAGGGGTCTGCAGTGGTTCTTTATAGCTTTGACTGAAAAATAACACCCAAGTTAATATTTATAGTATTTATATTCGGAACCACAACAAAAAATATTAATGGTAGCTGTTATATTGTGCAGTTTTCAGCAATATGTGGATAAAAATTATATTTAAATGATTTTTAATCCAAAGAACAAACCAATTAACAGCTGACTCGTTAACCCAGCCACACAGGTTGATCTTTTTCTGCAATGCTTTTAACACATTTACAGCGAAATGTTAAGGACAATCTGCAAAAATATGGCGTCAATCTGCGAAAATAATTTAAATACATGCAGATATCAGTTATTATTCGATTTCTGTTAAATATCCAACAAACTGTCCTAGATTTTATGTTCAATCAGATAATTTATAAGATTACAAGATTCTTAACTTTTCATAAATATCACGAGTCAAAGAGGTCTTCAAACTTCAATTATTAAATTATATCGAAAGGTTTCCCTTTATTATAAAGAGGGGGGCTCTTTATAAAAGTTTGGGCTTTTCCTTTGTCTTAAAATATATAAAAAATGTTGATAAAACTCAACATTTTATCTAAAATGTTCATTTTAGAATGTAACAAACTGGTATTTCAAATGGAGTTTTATTATTAATTATCTTTATTTTAAAGTTTTACTATAGGTTTTGCAGCTCAGGACACATTTTTTGTGTGTTTGTGGGGAGAAAAGGGCAGAAATGTGTCTTTGGGTTGTAGAAGTTGCATTCTTCTGGTCTAAAGTGAAACAGAAATGTTTGCTTCTGTTCACGTTTCTCAGATTAAGATTAGCTCTGACTCTGATAAGGACAGGTGCAGCTGTGGAAACAAACTGTTCAAATTTAACCTGAAAACTCAGCTCATTTCATCTGGGTTGGCTAAAACCAAAAAAAAGTTTTTATTTTAATTAACTACATTTAACAGCTAATAATATACCCTTATACTTACAAATATATACATTGAATCTCTTTTTACTTTGTTTTAATTGTGTACACTATAATATATAGGATAATTTTTTTGAAAAAAATTTGTTGACTTTTTCCCCACATTTGTATTATTTTCTGAATTTTTTAGCACTGTGGATGTCAGAGAAATTTAATTTCAGCCGTCTTTACATCAAAGTTTGAGGGGAATAGAACCTAAATAAATGATTTATTAAAAAATTAAACACAGGCTGACGTGGCAGCAGCTACTAAAATAACTATTCAAGGAGACGTGGAGGAAAACCAGACTTGGCACAAATCACAATGACTGATGGTGGAGTGAAAACTGAGAGACTGTAAGGACAGGGACTGGTGAATGGTGTGGAAACATCTGGAAATATCACAGCTGGGGACAGATGAGAGTGGGCGGGGCATCTGAAGGAGCAGAAACATGAACTGAAGCAAATCAACAAAACTCTACAATCAAACACAGAAACACTAAAACCAGATCCTGATTAGGATCCTACAACAGAACTGACGTGAACTGTGACCGTTTTATTCAGTTAAACTGTAACTATTTACATTTGTAATATATTTACATGTCTTATATAAATTAAGTACATTTTATTTTGTTTTCATATTAATGTGTTAAAGTCAAATCATTTGAATAAATTATAATTGATTTGCGTGAACATTTAAATAAACGTTGGACAGAAGAAACTGTTGTCCCTTTCATTTATGTTTTTTAATTAATGTACAAAATACACAATAATACACATCAAATAGCATTTTAACATTTAACAGCCCATAATTTTTGACTGAATAATTATGGGATGGGAGGTTTTATGAAGGGTTAAATGTTAATTAAATATAATAATAAATACACTGATCCCAAATCTCTTAGAAAACATTCAAATGCTTGATTAAAATTTAAATATTCTTTACGAGTTTGGTTTAATACAGTAAAATAATCCTGGTTTGCAACAAACAGAAACTTTAGTTAACAACAAAACTCGTGCTGAAGCCGTTTCTCCTCCGCCTCCATCGTCCCAGCTCACGGTTGCAGCAGGGAAACAGAATCAGAACCAGCAGAACCTCAGCTGGTCAGCAGGGAGCTGACACACAGCAGCTATAATTAACTGAGTATGTGGCTCTGAGTCCAGACTGAACACGTTTCAGTCATTTCCTCAAATTAAAATCATATTTTCACACCACAACTGATCAATTTGATGGATTTAACTTTGCAGAGACCAACACTTCCTCTCTGAGCTGAACTGGACCTCTACGGTTCTGTTTGAATACAATTCATCATCTAGAACCCACAAATGTTCCACAGCTGGAGCTCCTTAAAGGTAAAAAATAAATGTTCTGATTAAATCACTGATAAAGACCTTCTGGAGCAGATTAATACAAACTGGAGGCTCTTTCGTTGAGATGTTGTTGTGATTCTTTGGCAGAATCTGAGGTCCAGATTGCAGCACAGCTTGGTGGGCCTGGCTGAGGAACACGAGGGGGGCGGGGGACCAGAACCAGAACACACAGTGACTGCTTTTTATCAAACATAAATGTAGAAATTCAGAAAATCTGTGTTTTTCCTGCAGTATCTTGTTGACTCTTTATACTTCAGAGCTCTTCAGGCTGCAGCTGACCTTCATCAGCCTCATCTTCATCGTCTGTTTAAGTCATGAAGCTGGTTCTGTTTAAGTCATGCCGTCAAACTGACAGGCAGCAGGAACTGAACTGGAACTGAGGTGCTATTAACCACAAAAGGTCTGGTTTAGCATGTCAGAGCATGCTGCATTCTGTTTCTGACCCCTGAAACCTTCAGCTGTTCAAACAGGTGAGCTCACCTGCTCGCTGTGTTTCAGCAGAGTTTCAGACGAATCAGACAAATAAAGACTCAACTGTTATCTGAGCTAAACAGAAAAATCACGTGTTGGTGTTTTGGTTCAGAAAAACAACTTTTCTTTAAATGAGTCAATAAATTCAGTTTCATGTTGACTGTTTTGATGTAGAGGCTGATGCTGCCCTCTAGTGGAAATGTGAGGAACTAAATCAACATCTGATCATATCCTGATGCATGCTCAATAATCCAGGTAGAAAAATCCAAAAAAGTTCAATCTGGTCCTCTGGACATTCAAAACATTTATTTTCTAAACATAACGTCCCAGTGGCTTTTAAACCCCAAAATACATTACGGCAAAGACTGGTTCATCCCAAAGATCCAGTCCCCCGGCACAGAGTAATATTGTGTATGCTGTTCAGTGTCAGGAGGGTGATCAGTCTTACACCGGGGAAACTAAACAGCCGCTGGCCAAAAGGATGGCCCAGCACAGAAGATCAAGATCATCAGGCCAGGACTCTGCGGTCTACACTCATCTCCAGGCCAGCGGTCACTCTTTCAGGGATGAAGATGTTCACATCCTGGATGGAGAGGAACGATGGTTTGAGAGAGGAGTAAAGGAGGCCATATTTGTGAAAAGAAACCGTCCATCATTAAACAGGGGTGGAGGTCTCCGGGTTCAACTGTCCCCCTCTTACAATGCTGTGATTGCTAGTGTCACTCAGCCCTCTGTGAATAGTAAACAGCCATCAGTGTGCTAATGATCCATTGTTAGGCTGATGGTCCTTCTTGACCATGTGAGCAGCTGGTTTTGGTTGTCAGCAGCAAAACTGGTTGATCCACTCTGAGAAGGTGCTATTTAAGAGACTGAGCTGAATACAGCACCTCAGACTGAGGAAGTCTTTCAGATGAGAGACGAAACGTTTCTACATTTTTTTTTGCTTTGTTTTGTTTTTTGGTTTTTTGAATGTCCAGAGGACCAGGTTTAACTTTTTTAGCTTTTTCTACCTGGATTATTGAGCATGCATCAGGATACAGTGAGATTATGTTCGTACAGTCGTCCGAAAGATGGGCGGAGTGCACGTTGCTGCTGCTCCTAAGAGCGCAGCCCCTTATTCTTTTAGATAGAAATGGGGAAAAGGCCATGAGGAGCGGATAATGGTATTACAAAAAAGATCCCTTCACACCTTGTCCTTGTCAGGACACGATTTAAGACATCAAAAAAATCTACCAGCAAACACATTTATAGACGCATTACATATGCATTTGACGACAAGACGGTGAGATTTGACCATGAAGCACTTCCAGATAGCACCATAGTCCTGATAAGACGTTGGTGTCAGCCGGTCCAGCTTTGATAAGCATTCACAGAAGTTCTCGGGGCGGTTGCGATAGAAAGAGCCTTTTTGATTCATGAATCATGATTCCAATGATATAGGCATCTTCTGTGTCCTCCTGAGACAACACGGAAAGGCACATCAACTTCCAAACTCCCCTCGGATCCATGACATATCCTGCCGTGTGCATCTCAGCGGGCAGGAGGGCTCTCCAGGACCCTGTCGCTTTGTGGAAAAAAATGCATCTATTTCGTTAAAAGACCAGCTGACCAGATCCATGATTGTAGTTTACGTTTCAGAAAATGTGTAAATAGGAGCTCCGATACACAAGACAGAGAGCAAAAAAGCAGGAGGAGGACAGGAGAGGGAAGAAAGGCATCCGTCTTGCACGAGAGCGAGTGAGTAGGAAACAAAACTTCTCGAAACATAAAGTTCCAAAAATCAAAATAATGGCTCCTATCTGCTGAATGACATGAACATTTTATATATGAACAGTTAAAGTAACACAAATTATGCAGAAAGAGTTAGATACAAATAAAAAACTAAATAAATAAAAATGAAAACAGGATAACAGTCTGAATGTTGAGACAGAATTGAGACAAATATAATAAAAATCACTCAGCGGCTGATCCTGGGTCAGAATATTTAATGCTGATTCAAACAGGAAGCTTTCTGCTTTTATGCACAATCAGAAAAAAGAAAAAAAAAATTCAAGCTTCATCTGAGCATGCTCAGTAACAGTTAACATGTCTGCAGCTTCATGAAGCTGACATGATGCGAGACGCTTCATCACACAAGGCTGATTTCAGAACAGCAGGTTTTAGGATGTTTTAAGGTGACCGTATCGAGGAAAGGGATTAGCTTGGCTATTTCATATTTCCAACATCACCTGAACGCAGCAACCTTCATAATTACACTGAGTAATCACAGTCAGGAGTCGGAAACAAAGACTTGCAGGACATGAATGTGAAGTGATAGACTACATAATCTCACTGGTTTAGTCTAAGAAAATGTAATTAACATAATCTGTTTACCTTCAATATACTAAAATTATGATTTATGATCACCTACAAAACATATGCATTATAATGCACAATGCTTCATGGTCCATTTCCACTGATATGGCGAAGAACGTTTGTACTTTTACTGAACCACGGCTTCCAGGGCGCCATTCGACGCTACAAAATGGCTGCCTCACTATAAAGGTCGGTGAATGAGCGAACCATTCAAACGCAGCCTTGATGAGACTCATAACATTATTAGTTATTAATCCCACAATTTTAATATAAAAATAACCCAATGAGGCATTAAATAAATATGAACATAAATAGCAGGTTTCAGCTGTAAGCTGTAACTTTTGGGATTTGATTTTGGCTTAATGAACAGAACCTGCAGCCAGGTGAGCTGAGGTGGGCGTGGCCTGTCTGACCCAGAGTTAACCTGCTGCAGTTTGACTCAGGGTCAGTATTTTTTGGTATAAACAGAGGAAGACTTCAGTCTCTGAGCAGCAAAACAAGGAACAGACGGTGAGAACCTGCACAGAGTTCTTGTTCCTGCAGACCTGCTCAGAGACACCGGGCCCAGGTTCTGATTCTTTATGTGGGAGGGGGCCCGTTGTAGCGCAGCATGACGTTGAAAGACCGGGCGAAGTTGTTGGAGAGCGAGCAGCTGCTACCTTCATCCATGAGCGGCAGCAGGAAGGCGAGGAGCAGCAGAGCAAGGAGGAGGAGCCACAGGAGGAGAGCCAGGCGGCAGATCCGCTGCAGCAGCCCGGGTTTCTGCAGACACACACAGAACACACTGAGCGGGTCCACAAAGACCTGGACCAGTCTGGGTAAAGTGATTTTTTTAAACATGTGTAGTTACCTTTTGCAACACTGGTTTGGATCCCACCCTCTGACTGGTTGTGAACTTATACAGAAACAAAACAAACAGAACATTTTTATTAGAATGTTTATGTTAACTCTTTAAGTAAACAAACAAAACAAACACATTTTGTTCAAACTGCTGCGAGCAAAGTGTTTACTGTGTCAACATGAAGCTTTAAACTTTCTGTATCCAACAGAATAATCAGCAGGAACCAGAATACCTGCAAATGTCAGGCTCTACTGCCCCCTGCTGTTTATATAACGACATTACAACAACTGGGGAGAAGATTTTCTTCACAGTATTGACAGAAGTGAACATTTAACAGCTGTAACATTAACTAATTCTGTGAATCTACCAGCCAGATGCTGTGCAGATGTTTCCTCAGGTAACTTTTTAATGCACCTGGAGAATCGACATCATGAACATTAAGTTTCCTCATTATATGGTTTGATTCTCTGTTTATTGCATGCATCTGATTTCCTGTTTGTCTGTATTTTACTTACAATTTAACTACTTCTGCAGACTTTCTAATTTAGCCATAAATCAGAACATTCATCTCATTCAGGATTTGGGTGCTGGCTTTTGGTTTCTTTTATCCTTTTCAGAATATTTAACTTTATTTTCTTAGATTCTCTCCGTAGAAATACACCGAGATCTTTTCAGTTACTTCAGAAATAGTGTCCGTTTGAAATCTGCTTAAGCTACTTTTAGCTTTAGCGTCTGTTTCAATTCATTTGGCCAGCTCTTTTTGAGATTTTTAAGTTTTAGTTTACCCTTTTGATACTTTTAGCTAGCCATGTAGTATCCATTTAGATTAAATAAATAATGATTTATTCTCAGGAATAAATATTAATCCATCTGTTTAGTCAGTCATTCATTACTTACTTTCAGCTTTTTACCAGCCTTTTTCCTCTATAGCTTTTAGCTAGCATTTTGCTGCTAGCAGTTTTTTAGCTCTCAGCATATTGATAGTTTTCATTTTCTACAATCAAACCTTTTCGTTTATTATCTTATCTTTGTGTTTATAAATGTTTATTAACATCCTGGAAGTGTCCATGATGACATGAAGCACCAGAGCAGAGTCAGATCAGTGAACTGGACCTCCTCCTGAACTCAGAACACGGTTCTGGCTCAAGTTGAAATTGTCGCTTCTATAAAACATGAAGACCCGGTCTGATGGTGATTCAGAACTCGAGGGATTTAAAGAGGTTCTCTGTCAAGTCTTCTTCTCTCACCTTAGAGCCGGTTTTGATCCTGGTTCTGTTGTTGCTCGCCTCCTTCAGGTTGGTTTTGTAGAGCAGCCAGTGGTACCGAAGCTCCTCCAGAGCTTTGTCTTCAGCAGGAGTTTCCTGAAGCAACATCTGGAACATCTGTTGACCTTCAGGCACTCTGGATTCCAGAACCTGCAGCAGCAGAACACAAGAACGTAGGTTTACATGTTTTCCGTGTTATTAATGTTACTAATATGTTAATAACATGCTATTAACGTGTTATTAACATGTCACTAATATGTTACCAACATGTTATTCAAACATTAAAACATATTACAATGTTATCAAGATTTAATGTTAATTTTATGTTAACATACTAATTATGTGTTAATAACATTACTAATAGTTTAATAATATGCTTTACATTTATCAACATGCTAAAGTTACCAAGATTTTAATAATGCTAATTTTACATTAATAACATACTAATAATGATTTATTAACATGTTACCTTCTTATCACTGAGCTCATTCCTAACATCAGTAGTTCACTCTGATCCGTTTACCTGCAGGGTTTCCTGTCTGCTTCGGACCTCCTTGGTGCTGAGTTCTGCCCAGTTGGTTCCTAGGTTATCTAGGACTTCTTTCTCTCTGGACAGCCAGGCCTTGAACCGGGCCCAGTTGGGTCCTCTGCTGCCCTGCAGGATCCAAACACATCTTAAATCAGTGCTCAGCTGTGACTTCATGTCCATTTTAAGAGGAAATCAGAACTTTCTGTGTGGACAGTCAATAAATCTACCAGCAACAGATTGTTCTGACACGGTTCTGACAACCAGAACCTAAATTGGACGGTCAGTCGTTACAGCATCTGAAACCTGATCACTAAACCCCCAGAAACCAAGTTCTGACAGGGTTCTGACAACCAGAACCTAAATTGGACGGTCAGTCATTACAACATCTGAAACCTGATCACTAAACCCCCAGACCCAAGTTCTGACAGTTGGTCTCATCTCCTCTGATGAGACCAACTGATCTGGAACCAACAGGTTTACAAACAGATTCTAATGATGCTGCAGGTTTCTGAAACAACAGAACCTTCAGAACCACCTATTTCTGCTAGAAGCATTAGATCTGATAAAACTTTAATATCTGACAAGGTCCAACAGCACCAGCAGAACCTGTTCAGAAACCAGCTGCTGATGCTTGTGGTAATTGAGTTCTCAACCGAACATCTGGACAGGACCGGTCCACTCCTCCAGTGGAAAGTTAGTTCAGTTTTAATGATCCGGTTCAGAAACAGTAAGAATTGCAAATGTTTACCCTGCTGCCGTCTTCTGCTCCGGACCCGGATGTCTTCTCAGCATCTGGATCACCTTCTCCTGCAGAACGTCTCAACCTGAGACCGTCTGATGATCCGATACTAGAACCAATCACTTCCACTCTGGACCCGGATGTCTTCTCAGCATCTGGATCACTTCCTCCTGCAGAACGTCTCAGCCTGAGACTGTCTGATGATCCGATACCAGAACCAATCACTTCC